GGGTCTGCTCAGGATGGTCGTCAACAAGGTCCCGACAGGCACGTTCCAACAATTGTCTCTGTAACTGTCCGTTGCGACGGGAACGGTGTGTGTGTGTGTGTGTGTAAGCGCCCCCGGACAATGTGCAAACGTGCCCGCCAGTTCGCTACGATGTCACTCAGGGGGCCTCGCGATACTTGGAATTTCCATGAACTTCGTGGACCTCGAACTTGGGGGCCAACATGCGGGAAACCTTCGGGGAGGGGTCCTCATTGTGGTGCTCCAAGCTGGCGGCCTCCATGGTCCCGACCCAAGGCGCGCGCAGCCCGCTGAGGAGCTGGCAACCTATGGGGTCGATCTGGTAGACCGCGGACTTCTCGATGTAGGGAGGAAGAGGAGAAGGGGAAAAGCTGCCAAAACCTAGTCGGGCCCGATGGGCCTCCCAAAGAGAAGATGGTATGCTATAAGAGGGCATGGCTGACTGTGCACTGTGGCTGGGTGACTGGGAGGACTGGAGGGCCCCGTCCGTCTCGGTGCGATGAGGGGCCCCCAGCGACGCCTCCCCAAGGCTGGTGCCCAGGTCCACAGACGACCCAGAGGCCACAGCCGCAGCAGACCCAAGAGGCACCCCCAGGACCACCCCCAAACCGGCACCCACCGCCCGCGAGGCCCCCAAAGGGTCCTCAGGACGCGCCGCAGGAGAGGTCGCCTCGGCACCAAGACTGGGCCCTGTGAAACTTGAAGTACTAGCGCCCCCACGAGACTCGGAAGGGGTGAAATTGAACTCATCTGCCCACGGATCCTCTTCAGAACAGAAGGACGCAACGCCAATCTCGTCGCCGACGTCTGTGGATTCGCCTGCGTGCGAAACCTGAGGGCCCGAGGTGGTTGCATCACTAAGAGAGGCTCCGAACAAAAGACTTTTTTTTTTTTTTTTTTTTTTTTTTTTTTTTTTTTTTTCTGCGGCCTCCTGGCGAGCGAGGTTGCGCTGCGCTCGAGCTAGGCTGGACTTGGACCCTGGCGTGGGCCCCTTGCCTGGCCTCGCCAGCCGGAGAGTCCTGGTCAGGAGCTGGCGGCCCGACTGGCGGGGGTCCAGCGCAATCCCCAGGTGCGTCTTCCAGCCAGTGGACATCGCAGGCCTCACCTGGAGCACGTAGGGTATCGCAGCCGAACTGCAGAGCACGTAGTCCAAGATGTTGCCGCGCACGCCCGCGTCGCACGTGTACTGGACGGCAGGCGCCAAAAGGTGCCCACCAACACGACCAAGGAACTCTGACTTCTGCATGGCCCCCGCAGGGATGTTGAAGTCCCCGATGACCACCCAGGCCAGCTGGAGGCTGCGCAGAATGCGCCTAGGCGCTGGTATCGAGGTAAATATGGGCAAGTAACCCCCATGGAACTCAGCCCGTAGAACAGTATGAGCGTGTAGCATGAGAGGCGTAGGGCAACGGGCATCATGCCGTCGAGGTCCCAACCTTCACCAGCGCGAAGAACTTGGGCGGGGCAAAGGCCGTCGAAGCTGTGCACCTGCATGTGGCGCTTGCTGAGGACCCATTCGCCGCCCTCGTTGGCACGCTCCACCTGTCCAGAAGCAATCACATGGTCGTGCCGTCGCGGACGGGCAGGATTGGCGAAAAACCTCAACCCCGCAGCGCGGGCGGACTGGTCCCATTTCCGCGCGGGAGGTCGGTCAACATGAGTTTCCACCAAGGCGAACATGTCGTACCGTGACTTCTGAGACTGCAAAGACTGCCAGATCCTCTGACTCATACATGTAATATTACCAACAAGTAGAGATGTGCAAGTATCCTTAGTTGAATCAGTGATGACCCCCAAAGCATCGGACGATTCCATATCCTGCACTGTAGATGACGTAGAGGTGGTTGCTGGACCTGAAGATGATGGCGGCTGCATGAGTGCACTCGGCGGTCCAGACTGAGCCGAGCACCTCGCCGCAGCCGATCACTCAGCATTGTCTGACGCGAAGCCCTTACCCCTAGACTTCGCAGAGTCGGGAGCATGGCCTTTGCCATTCACCTGAGCCTGCTTCAGGGCCTCGGCGGCGGCGAACTTGGCAGCCGAGAGCTTCGCTGCCTCTGCCTGGACTGCAGCGGCACGGGCCGCTGCATCAGGGGGGCTGCCCGCTGCCGCCGCTGCCGCTGCAGCTGGCTCTGCCCCAGCAGGGGGAGGTTGGTCGGCGGCGGGGGTGGGCGCGGGCTCGTCCTGGCCGTTCACCTTGCGCTTCTTCTGCTTGCGACCCTCGATCGCCTTGCGGAGTTCTGCAGCGCGGTCGAGCCAGCCACGGATCTCCTCCTCGCGGTTGCACAGGTTGGCCTTGGCCTCCTTGAGCTGCGCCTCGAGCGAGGCCATGCGCTGCTTCTCGGCCGCGTCGAACTCCTCGGCAGCCGCGGCGTCGGCGAAGAGGCTCTCGCCCCAGGAGAGCTGGAACAGCTTGGAGGAGGTGCCGCCCTGGACAACACCCTCGGCTTGCGCCAGTCGGCGGGCGGCTGCCTGCTTCACTGCCGCAGCGTTGGCGAGGTGCACCGCTGCCGCCTGCTCTCTGGTCTCCGCTGCAGAGAGTAGTCCTCTCAGTCGTGTCACCGATGCCACCGCCTGGGAGTGCTTAGTGTCAGCGTCGCGCCAGGCCGCGTCGGCCTTGCGGACCGCCTCGGCGGCTGTGTCCTGATCAGCCGCCCTCTGAACTCGGAGGCTCACCAGCTTCGCACGCTCGAGCTGCAGGGCATTATTGATGGTGGGGTCTTGGGTGGCTTTGATAGCGCTGGCTAGGTGCTCCATTGCTCCGGAATCGACATCACTGACGGCAGAGTTCGACTTCAGGATGGTCTTCGGGGCGACGCATGGGTCGCCCTGAGGTGCCTTCTGATCCTCGAAACTAATACGCTTGGTTCCTGGGGACTTGGAACGGCTGACATGGAGTCGTACTGTACGATGACACCGGGAGCAAGACCTGCCATTCAGCTCGAGGATGTCATTCCATTCATGCTGTCCGCAGCCGCGACAACGGCTCCACCAGCGTGCTGCCATGCGTGTGTGGAAAAAAAAGGAAAGGAGATGTATGCCCTTCTTCGTCAACCAAGGGTTACAGTCGTGTGAACACACTGTACCACTCGGTGTCCCTCAAGTGCCACGGGGAGGCGAGGGCTGGCCGAGGACAAAATGCTCTCGGGCCGAGAACTTGAGGGAGGGGGAGGAGGAGGAGGAGGAGGAGGAGGAGGAGGAGGAGGAGGAGGAGGGGGAGGAGGAGAAGGAGGAGGAGGAGGAGGGAGGAGGAGGAGTGGGGAGGAGAGGAGGGGGAGGAGGAGGAGGAGGGAGGAGGAGGAGGAGGAGGAGGAGGAGGAGGAGGAGGAGGAGGAGGAGGGGGAGGAGGAGGAGGGAGGAGGAGGAGGCAGGAGGAGAGGAGGAGGAGGAGGAGGAGGAGGGGAGGAGGAAAAGGAGGAACAGGAGGAGGATGAAGGGGAGGAGGAGGAGGAGGAGGAGGAGGAGGAGGAGGAGGGGGAGGAGGAGCAGGAGGAGGAGGAGGAGGAGGAAGAGGAGGAGGTGGACCTTGATCTTGACTCACCATGGTGGACGTTTTCTTCTTCGGTGTTTCGGCCTTGGGCGGAAGAGGGGGGGGATGGGAGAAGGGGTGGGGGTCTGGCTCCGGACCTCTGCTGTGTGCGCCTGTCTGGAACAGTGCTCTCCCATTGGGGAATCCCGTGGAGAACCCGTCCACCTGCTTGAAACAGGCGTCCAGAACAGCCAAGATCTACTCCGTCGGGGGTGAGGGGGGGGGGCGAGGGCCCGCGCGGATCGGCAAAACGATGAAGAAGAAAACTATCACAATCTGTTCTCATGCAACGCTGCTGTTTTGGACCTCTCTTGCACGGTGGAATCCGCCACCGTGCTGACTGCCACTTTGAGGCTTGGCAGAATGCCAAACCTGTCTGCGAATGATTCCTGTAATCTTTGCAAGGTTCCGCTCCCCCCTTGCATCCCCCCTCCCCTCTGGAGGCCACGATCCCTTGTAGGAAACTGTGGGTCCGCGTCCCGAGCTTCCCAGACGGCCGAGGCAGGCAACCAAGGCAACCAAGATGGCCCAAGATGCCTCGAAGACGGCCCAAGCTGGTCCCAGAGGGCCCAACATGGCCTCGAGACGGCCCAGGATGCCTCCAAGAGTGCCCCAAAGGGCCACAAGAGGACCCCCAACAGGGCCTGAAGAAGCCAAACCAATTGATTTGCCTCAGATGTTTCCCACATGTTCGGGCTTCCGTCAGCTCAAGACGGCCCAAGAAGCCTCCAAGATGGCCCCAGGACGGCCGAAGAGGCCCTCAAAAGGGTTCCCAAATGGCCTAAGATAACTCCACGACAACCCAAGGGCCTTCCAAGACGGCCCAAGAGGGCTTCCGGAGGGACCCAAGGCGGGCTTAGACACCCCATACGGCCAAGAGGGCCCCACGACGGCCCAGGAGAGCCCCAAGACGGCCTAGAAGGGATCAAGGACGGCCCAACTGTCCCCATGAGACTCCCAAGACTGCTCCACAGGAGGCCAAGCCAGCTGAAGGCGACCCATATAATTTCCATGAGAGCTCCTCAAGAAACGAAGACAGAAGGTGTCAGATGAGACGGCCTACTTCTTCCTACTTCTCCTCCTGCGACTCCTCCTCCTGCTACTCCTCATCTTCCTCGTCATCGTCATCGTCGTCATCATCATCAGCATCAGCATCAGCATCAGCATCAGCATCATCATCATCATCATCATCAACATCATCATCATCATCATCATCATCATCATCATCATCAGCATCATCATCACCATCTTCCTCATCATTCGAATTGTTCTCATAAACCTGGTCATCCTCATCATGGCTCTCGAACAAACCTGGGGACACCAGGCATAACGCGTGACGGCCTCCCGTGCCCTTCGAGTATCGAGGATTGGCATAACTCTCTCCAGCAGAACGCCACTTGGCAAAAACCACTGGGGCCATCCACGGGGTGCGCGCGGCACTGCATTTCGAATGCGCCCGAATGCATCCGGCGAAACCGACGACCCTGCGCGGAACCGATCAGGGACTGCACCAGCACACTTGACGAACGGACAAAACGCACCCATACCCATAGGGGGGTCCTCGGGAGGAGGACTGGCTATGGGTATGGGTGCGGGTTGTCGGACCCTGGGGAACGCTCCCGTTCGAGCGGGGACCCCCATCCGACAACACGCACCCATAGCCCTCTCCGATCCCCCTATGGGTATGGGTGTGTGTTGTTGGTTCGTCAACACTCGTATGCTATTGTCGAGGGAACCCGCGGAGACTGGCATGGGGGAGGCGGGTCCTGAGGGAAACGGGTCCTGGGCCCTGAGGCACTCCCTCAAGGACGACGAGATCTTCCTCCCGAGTCGGTTCCTGACATGTCCGGGGGGCCCGTGGAAGGCCCCGCGGGCCCGAAGACGGCGAGAGACCTCAGGACCCGCGCCCCTCGGGCACCTCTGCCGCCCCATGGTGAGGAGATCTCCTGCCCCGCCTTGTCCGGGTGGCGTTCTCGCTCAGTGCCAGAGAGCAGTCGCCACCCGGAATGCTGGGCTGGCACGGCGGCGGGGCCGCGGGCGGCTGGGACAGCCGTCGCCGTCCTGTTTTGGGCCTCCAGAGCGCCCTGCGGCGCGCTCGCCTCCCCGCCTCTCCGAAGGGCCTGGGCGTGGCTTCACGGCTGCACGGGAAGGGGGGCGTCAAACGGAGGAGTGCAGAGCTGCTCGCGGAGACGCGTCGTCGGAGCCCACTGAGGGAACGCAGGGATGCGAACCGTAGGTCGACCCGTGGAGGGAGGTGTGACATACGGTTCCGTCGCTCGGGGGTTGGTCGTCGGCAGCACGGGGTCGGTGTGCCCATTGGCTTCTGGGCTCCAAGAGGGGCCCTTCAGAGCTCCTTTCCTGTAGCCTTCGCCCCTTCGCTCTCCTCCTTTCGCGCCCACCCACTACGCAGCGCCCGAAGAGCGCTTTTGGCCGCCCGTCCAGGTTCCTATCGGGGGTTGTCAAAAGTGCCGCTGGCTCAAGGCGACCCCATTTCTTCGTTCAATCTTGGAGCCCCTGGGGCCCCTTTGGGCATCGTGAGGGGTGCTCTGGATGCCGTGTGGGCCTCCTTGAAAATCCTGGGGACGCCTTGGGCCAGGGGCACTCCTAGCAACACCCGATCGTGCTGCCGAGTCTGTTGCAGCGCTGCTCGGCCGGTCTTTGTGACGGCCGGCCCAAGGGTCTACGAGCGCGCCTGCTTTACGGCGTCGCACCGCTGCTTGTCGGCAGAAGGGCGGAGACTTGCAGGAGGGGGAGGAGGGATGTGCGGTTGCTCATCCCTGCCATTACTGTTGCAACCATGCCTGAGGCGGCGGATACAGACGGGGACGACCAAATTCCAACATCCCCTCGTCGATGCCCTGGCAAAGTGACATCAAGAGAGAAGGGAATGGTGAGTGAGTGAGTTGGTAGGGACCGAATGGGCGAGCGTTAAAGAGACACATAACGTGTATGAACGTATATTAATTTAGGGAGAGAGAGAGAGAGAGAGAGAGAGAGAAAAAAAAAAAAAACATACAATACATCTACATATGCGACCACCCTTCGGGTGATATGGAGGTTGTGGGGGGAAGCCACATACTGACACTGCGATGATTGTGATGGTGGCGGTACTGGTGAGCCCTTCGTGAGCTGGTGACGATGCATGATGGCGATGCTGGTGTCGATGTAGTATGCCGATTGACATGGTCACGATGCATGTCGACACCATGTCGACAAACAAATGCCACCACCAGGGCACCATCGGGGCACCAGCGAGACACCATCGGGCACACCGTCGGGACACCATCGGAACAACCCCCAACCATCGGGACACTATCGTAACACCATTGTGGTCTATCCGTCCACTATTTGTCTGTCGATTTCACTATCGGCCTCAATGTACGTCTCGCTATTGATCTCACTATCGACCTCAATATCGATTTCAGAATCGATCTCACTATCTGCTTATCGATCTCTCCTATCGATCTCACTATCGGCTCCGCTACCGATCTCACTCTCGATCTCACTATCTGTCTGTCGACCTCGCTGCAAATCTCACCATTGATCTATCTGTCTCACAATCGACCGCGCTGTCTGTGCCACGGTGGGACACCATCGGCATACCCATTCGACACATAGATGCCACCATCGGGACACGGTTGGAACACCATCGGGACACCATCGCGACACCATCGTAACACCATCGAAGCCCCTCAACCATCGGGACACCATCGGGCTACAATCGGAACACCATCGGGACACCACTGTGGTCCATCCGTCCAATATTTGCTCGTCGATTTCACAATCGGCCTCACTGTACGTCTCGCTACCGATCTCACTATCGACCTCAATATCGATTTCACTATCGATCTCACTCTCTGTTCATCGATCTCACTTTTGTTTTCACTATCGATCGAACTATCGGATCGTTGATCGATCCCACTCTCTATCCCACTATCTCTTTATCAATCACACTATCGGTCTCAAGGCCGACCGCACTATCTGTCAAGATGGGACAACATCGGGACACCCTGGGGACAAACAACTGCAACCATCGAACCACCATCGGTACACCATCGGCACACCATCGGGACAACATCGAGACACCATCGAGACACCATCGGAACACCATCGAGACGCCATCGAGACACCATCGAGACACCATCGAGACACCATCGGGACACCCCCGAGCCACCTCCCACAAACGGGTGGGACGCCCCCGGGCCATCGCGGGCCAACCGGGGAGTAGCATCTTTAGGCCTGCTTTCGCACTAGCAACGGCCAGCTCGCTCCGCTCGCCTGCCCACGCAGCGTCGCTTCGCCCGCACGCCGCACGCGCGACACGAAACCGGAACCGACTTCCAGGTGGGGGATCTCCGTCTCACGTCGATCTCACCCCCACACTCTCCGACTACAGGCTCGGCGGCACCCGGCCATCACCTCGAGAATAGGTGCGATTGCACCACGTAGCTTGCACAGAGCAGCTTGCACACTTATACTTTGCACCACATCGGTTTCACCATGCAGCTTGCGACGATGTTGGTTTGTACCACGTAGCTAGCACCACGCTGCTTTCGCTACACGTTCTGCACCACATAGCTTGCACTGCATAGCCTGCGACGATGTAGGCCTGCACCATGTAGCGTGCCCAACAACACTTCCATCACATATGTTGCACCACGTACTGTGCCCCACATAGGTTGCGACAGTGAGGGTTTTCGCACCACAGCTTACACCGCATGACTGGACCTTTCAGACGAAAGCGCCGCCAAACCATGCAAATCGTGAGGACGTCTCAAGCGAAACCGCGCCCACATGAGGCCAAAGTAAGCAAAATGCGGCGAAACCGCACCGAAATAAACCAAGCAAAGTGTGAGGACGTCTCAGGCCAAACGACGCCGAAACCAAGCTGATCCAGGGAATTTGTGAGGGCGTCTCAAGCGAAGGCGCCGACACGAAACCAAACCAAGCAGATTCTGAGGACGTCTCAAGCGAAAGCAGCCCCAAACCAGGCCAAACCAGAGGCCAAACCAGGAAACTGTTCAGGATGCTTCAGGCGGGGCGCCCGGCCAAACCAAACCAAACCAAGCCAAACCAGTCCCAAACAGGGGCCATAACCAGGCAAACTCTGGGGCCGCTTGAAGCGACGCGATCCAGGCTCCATCCCCTTACCTTGCTCGAGTTAGAGTGGACGGAGTGGACGACCCAAGGCCACCCCCCCACGCAGGGGACCCTGCAGTTCGCATTTATGCTGGCAGCGGAAGGGGGGGTCTCAAAAAGTGGACGACGTTGCTTGCGAGTGCTGTCGAGTCATGGACTTGCTCGGCCCCGTGCGCGCCATCCCACACTCATTGCGGCCTCCCCGCGGCCTCTCCAATAAACAAAACGATCGACGTCTGTGGCTGGGCCGCCGCAGGGACGAGTGCCTCGTTCGGGCGCAGCAGCAGCACGTGCGTGGCCCGGGCGCAAGCGCGTGAACTTGTCCTCCGATAGCTCTTGTGGCAACCGTGCCGCGATGGGAGAAAAATACCCCCGAGGCAGTAGGGAGCGAGAGAGAGAGAGCACGAGGCGGAGAAAGTGCGGAGACAGCAAGTCCACATTGAACCCACGCAGTGCTGCGCGCAGTGGGAGCAGGACGTTGCCCTGCGGACCTTGCTGCGACACCGGCTTCGTGCCGCTGTCAGGAGGCAGACGAATTCGCAAAAGCCGCTCAAGCCATCGCGGTTCTCATGAACGCCATGAAGCGACTCCTGTACATCTCGGGGCTGCAGCACGACACGCCCGCACGCTCGTACACCAGAGCTTTCGCGTGGTGCTCCACCTGACGGCAAGAGCATGCACAACAACTTCCGGAGCTCCGCGCGGAGCCTCGGACGGGCGCTGCGCCCCCCCCCGGCGGCGCCTTGCGCGCTCCGCCTTGCGCGCTCGGCTCGCCAGGCAGGGGGTGCAAGCGCCGACCCAGGAACTCCGCGCCGAGCTCCGAAAGTTTCATTTCGTTTTCGCCGATCTGTCTTCTTCGACCCACCTTCGCCTTCGCGTCGTACGTCTTGAACATGTCGATGACGCCCATGAAGTACAGGAACTTCCTGTCGGACGACAGGATGCCACCGAGGTGGCGCTGGTGGAGAGGCAGCGAGTCCACATGCAGCTCCCCGCCCAGCAGGGCCGCCGCCGACTCGGTCGAGGGGGCCCTCCTCAGGAGGACGCCCGCTGTGCACCAGCACCGATCTCGGCCAGGCCAACAGGGGTCGCCGCAGCGACACGTGACGACGCCTGCCTGGCCCAGCCCTGGGCCCTGGGCTGGCCTGGCCAGGACCGGTGCTGGCGAAATCGAGCCCCCCCCCCGATCCTGAGGTCCCTGACGCCGCCGTCCCTCTCGCAGCTGATCTCTGGGGACACCCGGTCCACTTCGTGGATCCCGACCAGCAGGGAGTAGTCGATGACCTCCAGGGGTTGCCGGGAGGTGAGGAGGAGGAAAAGAGGAGGAGGAGGAGGAGGAGGCCCAGGGCGGCGGGCTCGCCAGGGATCGGCCCCATGCCCCAGCTGAGGCCCTGCGAGGAGGCCCTGCAGGGATGGAGGAGCAAGCGCTGCACGAGCAGAGAGGCTCGGTCTTTTCTTGAAGGGACGGCTGCGCAAGCAAACGGCTGCATAGGCAAGCAGCTGCGTAAGCACAAGAGGAGCAGCTGCTGCGTCCGCGCGGGCTTTGGGGATCTGCTGGGCCCGACTACCTGGCGCGCGCCAGGCCGGAGGTCTAGAACCCTTCCCTGGGACTGGCTGCTGGCCCCGGGTCCTCCTTTGAAGATCGCGGGGCCCGGTGACGGCCCCGATAGCGGCGCCGAAAGCAGTAGAGAACCTCTCGTCATGATGTTGTACGGCACGAGCATGTCTGGGGCGGGTTCCCAGGATTAGGGGAACGAAGACTGGTATAAACATAAAAACTCTGAGGTCGGCGAGGATTTCTCGAGTCGGCGCTGGACCCCCCTCCCTGGCGCGCGGGAGCCCGGAGGCGCCGCCGGGAGGGTTCAGCGCGGGTCTCACAAACCCGCGCGGACCTCCGAGTTGTTATATTTATGTCATTATTCGTTCCCCTAAGGATGGGCCAGGAAACACCCGTGCACATGTTTTCAGGTGCACTCACGGGACGCTCGAGGCGCAGCTCCCGAAGGTATCCCGAGGTGAGAACCATCATCACCGAGAGCCGTCGAAGCCGCCCGAGTCCTCCAGCCTCGAGCCTGTCGCCCCCCCCCGTGCCCTGCAAGGTGGCCGGGTGTGGCCAGGGCCACCCCTGCCAACACCCGAGACCTGGCTGTCGCACAAGGGCTGTGTGACAAATGCCAGCTGGAGCCCTACATTTGGGTCGGGCAAGTCCTCCTACAGGCGGATTTGGGAGGAAAATTAAAACATGTTCGAACAACTCAAACATAATCAAACAAAAATCATAAATCGTCCCCAGGCTATGTTTGAACATTCCTACTGAAGAGGGACAGGTCCAACTTAAAGCTTGAGTCTGTTGAAAAAATTGCAGCGCCTGGATCTCAGGGAAGCCACCTCTGGCGAGAGGCCCTCTGTCAATGCACTCGAGACCTGGTCGTCGCAAGACAAGATGCCACGAAGGGCCGCCGGGGGAGGGGGACGGTGCAGGACCAGGAGGGATGAGGCGGAGGAGGAGGAGGAGGAGGAGGAGGAGGAGCAGGAACGGGGAGGAAGAGAGGAGGAGGAGGAGGAGGAGGAGGGAGGGGGGGAGAGGAGGGGAGGAGGAGGAGGGAGGAGGAGGAGGGAGGAGGAGGAGGAGGAGGAGGAGAGGAGGAGGAGGAGGAGGGAGGAGGAGGAGGAGGAGGAGGAGGAGGAGGAGGGGAGGAGGAGGAGGAGGAGGAGGAGGAGGAGGAGGGGGGAGGAAAGGGAGGAGGCAAGAGGGACGAGGCAAGAGGGAGGAGGGAGGGAGGAGGCATGGAGGAGCAGCAGGAGGGAGGATGGGGAGGGCGGGGAGGTCTGGGGAGGTCCGGGGCGGGGTCTGGGGTCGAGGCCCGAGGCCTGGCTCTCGCACAGGAACTTCGTGTCCGCCTCCAGCTGCGCGGCCAGCGCCCGCGCCGCGTCGGCGCCGACGAGCAGCTGCTCCTGGGCGTCCCGGAAGTCCACGTCCTTGAGGACCGCCTGCTCGGGGTTCGCCTGGTCGGTCGACCTGCCAACCCAGGATCCTGAGAGGGACAGGCAGCAGGAGCTCGCCCCCCCCCTCCATTCGCCTCCTCCTCCCCTCCTCCTTCTGATCCTCTCCTCCGCCTCCTCTTCCTCCTCCCCCTCCTCCAGAACTGCTCACGGCGTAAGAACACACACACACACACGCACAAACACATACACACACACACACACACTTTGTGCGTCGGCGGCCAGGCAGAGTGACTGCGCTGGCGGATGGAGCAAATGCAGGGCATACAAATGCTAATCAAGCAGCAATGCGCGTAAAAAAGACGAACACACTGACACACACTGACACACACACACACAAACACACACACACATACACACACACACACACACACACACTCGAACACACACACACACACACACACACACAACCCCGCGGGATTTGCTCGCAAATCTTCGGCCGCTGGGGGATGGGACCGTCGAGCAGCGGCCCAGGACTGGCCTCTCGTCACCACAAGTCTCGACCGCCGACATGGTGACCCACGTTATGACAAACATCACGACGTCGGTGGTCTGGGACTTTGTGGGCCCCGGAAACGGGGCAGGACCCTGTCGTTTCCAGGGCCCACTAAGGTCTGGGACCCCCCTCCATGAGACCCCCTTCTCGGCGGTGGACAAACTTCCCTTTAGTAAACCTCCCCTTCGTGACAACGGCCTGGGACCGAAACCGACGGACCTGGACCCGCAAAAATGACGGCCGCGAGGCCCTCCCGCGAACCGAAAACGGCCAACTCCTTAATCGACGTGTCAGGGTAGGAGGTCTATCCACTCCCGATCTTCATGATCGGAGAAAGAGCCCAGAAACATACGCTTCCGGAGGTCCGCAGATTTCCTCGATCGGTGCTGGGACCCTCTCCCTGGCACGCGGAGCGCGCCATGGGCGGCGCCGGAGACTCCGCCAGGGGGGCGTGGCGCCCATCCAGGGAATCTGCGCGGATCTGCGCAAGTTTATGTTCACGCAGTGCTTGTTGTTCGGATCCTTTCAGGTCGTACTTACGGTGGATCTCCACGGGCGTGTTGAACATGTTGGCCATGACGACGAAGTACATCTTTTGCGTGGAGTGCAGCATGGTTTCAGTGCCCCTCAGCTGCTCCATCACGCTGAGGCAGTGCAGCCCCAGGAAGCGGACGAGCATCGTCTGAGGATTGTTCTGCAAGTGGTCGTAGTATTCCCTGAGCATGCGCCTCAATGTACGGTACTCCGCCTTCGAAACTGTTTTCAGCATGTACTTGCCGTCGGCAGTGTAATAGAAAAACGCGCCGCTCTTCCCCTCGGAGGTTTGCTCTGACAACGAGGACAAGTTGCCCAGTATCATGTTTCCGAGAAGTTGTTCGGGACCCACGGAATGCAAATACTCATCGGTGTCGATGCCGAAACTCAATCGTATCCTTTGGAACACCATCGGCGCGTAGTCGATGAACCGGTACTTTATAGCTCTGGGTGAGGCCGTCGAGTCGAAGATGTTCGCGTAGCGAGGCGCGATCGTGAACTTCTCCTTCATGGAGAAGTCCACGGGCTGCATCTCCCGCCGACGCTCGCCCCTGGCGCGCCCGATGGAGAGCCTGATGCCGATCATCATGCTCACGACCATGTTCCTGGGGGGACAACTAGGTACCGATGCCGATACCCTACGGACCTCTCCTGGGGTGCGTTCTGGCCGGCATTTCGAGGAGAGTCCAGCCGTGGCGACGGGGGCTCTCGAGGACAAGCGCCAGCAGGGGTAGAGTTCTCCTCCTCCGAGCTCCAGTTCTCGTGCCCGAAATGCACCGCCAGCCCCTTCCTGGGCCCCAGGACGCGGTGCCTCTTCAGGTGGTGGTGGGCCACCGGCTGCGTCAGCGTGGGCATCCTCCTTTGAGCAGGGGCCGGCCGTCCTGGCATTCCTGTAGGCCTACCACTAAAGGTTCTCAGAAGCCAAACATGTTCGCAGAAGAAATTCCAAGCTCTTAGAACATCAACCCGATGTGTTAAGACAAGACAGTCTCAGCCAGGGATGTTCTGAGAACAGTTCGCGCAGTCCACAGACGGTTCTTAGAACATTCTTCGGTGGGCCTATAGGCGGGCCAGGACGCTTCGCCACTAGAGGCCTCCTTGATGGGGTCCAAGTAGATGGGGTCGGAGGATCGAGCCGCTTCGGCGATACATCGGCGACGTCGGGGTGGGGAAAATCGGGCTGCACATCGAGCCGCATCGGCGACGCATCAGCGATGCGGCGCGATCCTCCGACCCCATCCACTCCGACCCCTTCTAGGAGGCCTAAGGTTAGGTCGGGCTTTGGACGAAAAATAAAGAATACCCGAAAAATGCTCAAGAGATGCCCCCAAACACTAAAAACAACAGTCGCACGACTATGTTTTGACTATCTTTGAATCTTCCCCCTGTAGAGGGACAGGCCCGACTTAAGCCTAGGGCCACTGCTCGACTCCTGCTCTGCACCCGGTGCACGGCCAGCGGGTGCCGCGGCCCCGGGGCGCCGCCGCCCTCGGCGGCGCTGGCCGTCGCCGTCACGCGCTGGCTCGCCGCGGCCCTCGGCGTCAGGGCCGACGGCGGGCCCAGGGCTGGCAGCGCCCCGAGCCCGGCGCGGCCGCCGCGGGCCTGCCGCGAGGCGGGGATCTATCCAGATCCACCTCCTCCTCCCTTCTCCTCCTCCTCCTCCTCCTCTCATCCTCCTTCTCCTCCTTCCACACCTCCTCCTCCTCCTCCTTCAACTCTTCCTCCTCCTCCTCCTCCTACTCCTCCTCCTCCTCCCTCCTCTCCTCCTCCTCCTCGTCCTCCTCCTCCTCCTCCTCCTCCTCCTCCTCCTTCCTCTCCCCTCCTCCTCCTACCTCCTCCTCCTCCTCCTCCTCCTCCTCCTCCCTTCTTCTCCTCCTTCTCCCTCCTCCCTTCTCCCTCCTCCCTCCTCCTCCTCCTCCTCCCTCCTCCCTCCTCCCTCCTCCTCCCCCTCCCTCCTCCCTCCCCTCTCCTTCCTCTCCTCCACCTCCTCCTCTTTCTGCTCCCCCTCCCACCTCCTCCTCCTCCTCCTCCTCCTCCTCCTCCTTCCACCTCCTCCTCCTCCTCCTCATCCCTCCTCCTTCCTCCCCCTCCCATCCTCCCTCCTCCCTCCTCCCTCCTCCTCCTCCTCCGCCCTCCTCCCTCCTCCCTCCTCCCCCTCCTCCTCCTCCTCCTCCCTCCTCCCTCCTCCTCCTCCTCCTCATCCTCATCCTCTTTCTCCTCCTCCTCCTCCTTTTCCTCCTCCTCTTCCTCCTATCCACCGCCTGGGAACCGACGGCCTGGTGCCCCAGCGGGCGGTGGATATGGATACATATTGGTGTCCACATCCACCGCCTGTCGAGGTCTACGAAAATCGAGCCTCCAGGCGGTGGTCATGTATCAACCCCCGCCTCGGACCTGCGGAGCGGGCGGCTTCCCGTGGCACTGGTTGCAGAGGCCCAGGATGCCGTCCAGCTCGTGGGCCACCGTCTCGAGGAACTTCCCCTCCGGCCGCGGACTCGCGGGGCCGAGGTCCTCCTCGTCGTCTTGCCTCGCGGGGGACACCGCCACGACCTCGTGGACCTGGTCGGCGGCGTCGAGCGAGGGCGGCGCGCACAACGACAGGACGCCTGGAAGAAGAACAAGCGCCATAAACACACAAACTTTTGGCGCTCCGCGCGGATCTCTTGGATCTGCGCTGGCCCCTTCTCCCTTGCGCGCGGAGCGCGCCAAGGGCGGCGCCAAAGGCGCCGCCGGGGGGGGGAGGCCCAGCGCGGATCCGAGAAGAGCGCCAAGAGTGTATGTGCCTATACGACCACCCTGCGGGTGATAAGGAGGTTGGGGGGGGAGGGGCCCAGCAATGGGCAACAGTGGTGATTGTTGTTCTGACGATGCCAGTGGAGATTGTTGCGTTGCCGCTCGCTCTTGGGAGTTTGGGTGTCGAGTTGTTTACGTCACCCTTCGCTATTGGGCGCCTTGGTGCCTTCCCCTTCCCCCGGGAACCTGCCCAACGGCGGCGAACGACGACGACGTTTTTTTTTGTTTGAGGCCTCCTGAGGCCCCGCTCGTCGCCACGGCTTAAATCGCCTCGATAGATTGCTCAACGTCGATCTCACTATCGATCTCACTATCGATCTCACGATTGATCTCACTACCGACCTCACGACGGGACACCGACAGGACACCGCAGGACACCGACGGGACACCGACGGGACACCGGCGGGACACCGCGCGGCCCCGACCGCCGGGTCGCCAAACATTTGGTCCGACCGCGCCTCAGCCACAGGAGACTTTCCTCTCGCCCGCCCACGCAGCTTCGCCTCGCCCGCACGCACGGCACGCACGAACACGAAACCGAAATCGACTTCCTGGTAGGTGGTCTCTCCGTTCCACTTCGATCTCACCCCCCAACCTCCGATACGCTGTGTTGCTCCCATCCTACTTCAGGGCCAAATCCCAGAAATGATTCCGAGTACCCAGAAGAGTATCGAAGCAGTGTCGAACGAATATCGCCTCCCAGGGCCCGACACGGGAAGGCCTTCAAGAGTTTCGGCACACTTTCTTGGTGCTTGCAATTTTTAGTGGTGATCAAGGCCAAAGTCTGGGCATCGCTCGGACGTCCATTCCCTGTGTTTTTTTCGGTTTCGTGCGTGGCTTTTTCGCCAAATCATCAAGGATGCTCCTCGATGGTCCTCGCCGAAGGAAAAATGCACACGTCCGAGCGATGCCAAGAAGTGGGCTGGAACATCACAATGCGTAAGGCGTTTCTCCTCCTTGGAGCGCCGCTGAACAGCTTCTCCACGGCCACGGTGGTGCTGAGCAACTTCCGCACGGACAGGGCCGGCGGGCCCTCCTCCGCCGCGGGCGGCGGCCACCTCGCCGGCTCCGCCGCCTCGCTGGGCTCCGACTCGCAGGGGGGCCATGGCTGCTCCTGGGAGAGGAGCAAAGGGAGGGCGCCCAGACGCAAACAAGTGCACGCAAATCTCAAGATCCCCCAGGTTTTCCCACACCTTCTGAATTCTCAGCTTCCCATCATCCATTCTTCTTCATCACCCCCACCACCTCCATGCTCCCCATCTTCTCCTGAACATCGACGAGCCGTTGTGTCTGTGTGTGTTTATGTGTGTAAGTGTGTGCGTGTGCGTGTGTGCGTGCGTGTGTGTGTGTGTGTGTGTGTGTGTGTGTGTGTGTGTGTGTGTGTGTGTGTGTGTGTGTGTGTGTGTGTGTGCGTGCGTGCGTGCGTGCGTGCGTGCGTGCGTGCGTGCGTGCGTGCGTGCGTGCGTGCGTGCGTGCGTGCGTGCGTGCGTGTGTGAATGTGTGTGTGTGTGCGTGTGTGAATGTGTGTGTGTGTGTGCGTGTGTTTGTGTGTGTATGTGTGTGTGTGTGTGTGTGTGTGTTTGCTTTCCCCTTGAGAAAGGAAGAGGCACAGGCACAGACTATCGGAGGGCCGCGCGGCTTTCCTGGATCGGCGCCTTGCACCCTCTCTCCCATGGCGCGCGGAGCGCGCCACAGGGCGGCCGCAGCGGCGCTGCCGGGGGGGCCCCCTTGGTGCTGGCCCGGGAGCGCCGCGCGGAGCTCTGGCTGGTCTCAGATCGGGCACGTCCTCCTACAGGGGTATTCTGGGCGGGATATCAAAAATAGTAAAAAGTACCCAAACATGTTTCAGCAAGATAATGTCTGACAGGGGGATTTGAGATGGACACTTGACAATGGTCCAACATACCCCATAATGGTTTTATCTAAACATCACGTATGACTATCTTTGAATATTCCTCCCGTGGGAGGACATGCCCGACTGAAGGTGTGTCGGGTTCGGGCAGCCTCTCATGCTCCGATCCTGGGACATGCTGGCCACCACGCTCCGGAAGTGCTGGCTCCACGCCTCCCGATTCCATCCGAACTCCTGAACCCTGCAATCCTTTGCAAAACAACTATTCCCTGACAGCCCTGGATGTAAGACGGCGCCATCCCCGGCAAAACACACGATTTCCTGATCATGCGTGCTGTAAACCCTCGCCAACCCTTGCAAACAAAAAGTACGATTCCCTGATCATGCGCGCTGTAAACCCTCGCCATCCGTTGCAACAAAAAAAAGTTATTTCCTGATCCTGCGTGCTTAACCCAATCGTTTCACAGTGGAAATGCGCGTCCGCGGACGCATACCCTTGCAATCCCTTGCACAAGTAATATTTCTTGATCATGCGTTCATACACCTACGAGAGTTTCCCTACCAGGTGCGCCGCTGTCGCAGAATCTGTGTTTTACAATCAGAATTCTATGATGTTTCAAGCGCTCACAGCGTTCCCAAGCGCTCCCAGGCGTTCCCAAACGCTCCCAAGCGCGTCCAGGCGCCCCCAGGCGCTCCCAAACGCTCCCGGGTCCTCCCAGGCGTTCCCGGGAGTCCCAGACGCTCCCAAGCGTTCCTAAGCGCTCAGGCGTTCCTCGGCGCTCCCAGGCGCACGCAGACGCTCCACAGCGCTCCCATTCGTTGTACTTACAACGAGGACAGAAATGATCTTTATGGTAGGGTGGTTTGCGGGTGGGACTGGCAGCCACCGCAGGTGGGCTCCTAGGCAGGAGGGGATCAGCTGCGGCAGAGCTTGTAGACAATAGTCCAACATGCTCCAGAATGGTCTATTTAAAGATTATGTATGACTATATTTGAATATTCCTCCCGTGGGGGGACATGCTCGACTGAAGGTCTGTCGGGTACGGGTAGCCTCTCACGCTCCGATCCTGGGACATGCTGGCCACCACGCTCCGGAGTTGCTGGCTCCACGCCTCCCGATTCCATCCGAACTCCTGAACCCTGCCATCCCTTGCAAAACAAATATTTCCTGACAGCCCTGGATGTAAACCGGCGCCATCCCCGGCAAAACACACGATTTCCTGATCATGCGTGCGGTAAACCCTCGCCAACCCTTGCAAACAAAAAGTACGATTTCCTGATCATGCGTGCTGTAAGCCCTCGCCATCCGTTGCAAAAACACATTATGTCCTGATCATGCGTGCATAATCCATTGCGTTTCACAATGCAAATGCGCGTGCGCGGACGTAAACTCTTGCCATCCATTGCAAAAATCGTATTTCCTGATCATGCGTTCATACACCTATGAAACGTTCCTTACCAAGTGCGCCGCTGTCGCAGAATCTGTGTTTTACCATGTGAATTCTATGATGTTTCAGGCACCCACAGCGCTCCCAGGCGCTCCCAAGCGCTCCAAGCGCTCCCAAGCGCTCCCAGGCGCTCCCATCCCAAGCGCTCCCAGGCGCCCCCAGGCGCTCCCAAGCGCTCCCAGGCCCTCCCAGGCGCTCCCAGGAGTCCCAGACGCTCCCAGGCGTTCCTAAGCGCTCCAGGCGCTCCTCGGCGCTCCCAGGCGCACTCAGACGCTCCACAGCGCTCCCACTCGTTGTACTTACAACGAGGACAGACATGATCTTTATGGTAGGGTGGTTTGCGGGTGGGACTGGCAGCCACCGCAGGTGGGCTCCTAGGCAGGAGGGGATCAGCTGCGGCAGAGCTTGTAGACAATAGTCCAACATACTCCAGAATGGTTTTATTTAAAGATTATGTATGACTATCTTTGAATCTTCCTCCCGTGGGGGGACATGCCCGACTGAAGGTCTGTCGGGTTCGGGCAGCCTCTCATGCTCCCATCCTGGGACATGCTGGCCACCACGCTCCGGAGCTGCTGGAGCTGCAGGTCCTCCCGGGCGTCGCGCACCATCCGCGAGAGCGCCTCGATGCGCTGCTGCAGCTCCCCGAGCGTCTCCAGGGGCACCGCCGCGTGCGCCGGGCCCAGCTCCGCCGCGCCGCCCCGGGCCTGGTGGCCGCAGCTGGTGCTCCGCCGGAAGGAGGCGGGCTGGGAGAGCCCGAGGCACGAGAGGAAGTCCTCGGGGAGGAGCAGGCAACTGCAGTGCTAGGAGGCAACTACCGGGAGGTTCTCGTCGGAAAGGTTGAGGATTAGGCCCCATTTGGGAGCTGTTACGCTGGAGTGGGCCTCGAACTGAACAAAATTAAGCCGGATTAAACGGGACTAGACGGGATTAAGCCGGATAAAGCGGGAATAAGCCAGATTTGGGACCAGGGCAACATCAGAATTTGACCTCCCAGGAGTTGCATCCGAACGACAATAGGGGCCCGACCGCAAGAAGAAACCTTCCACAAGAGACCCAGACTTTAGACCCCAGGACGTCCATCGATGTTTTGGCGTGGGAGCGCCACGCTCTCCATGACAACGCCATCGAAGCCCAGGAAACCCAGGGCACCCTGGAGGCGAGCAGGGCGTCTCTTGGCATGGGTCTCCACGGACGCCGCGCATCGCTCCCCGCCGTACGCGGTACCTTCGCGCCCTCGCTCCCTCGCGCCGCCCCCTTGGAGGACGGCGGTCGCTCTGGCCCAGGCCGCGACGCGCGAAGCACGATGATCTCCGCGCCCCCGCGGGTGACCCAGAAGCAGCGGCACGATGTACACACCTCCGAAGCTCCGCGCGGACTTCTTGGATCGGCGCTGGGCCCCCGGACGGCGTCTCCGGCGCCGCCGTGGAGCTCTAGAGTCTTGCGGTTATGCACTTTGCTATTATTCGATCCTCGTTCGTCTCCGCTGCCCACTTATACCCGTCGAGGGTCAGCACGGGCTCCCCGTCCTGGACCTCGCCGCAATGGGCGGCCAGCTCCTCGAAGAGGCGCTCCACCTCGTCTTCCCGGGTCAGCCCGTCCTGCGGCACGGCCATGGAGGCCTTCGCCGCGTTGCACGCGCTAACCAAATTCTTGAAGTCTGCCTTGGCAATCCAAGCCTTCCTGCCGGCCACCATGTCGAAACTCAACTTGAGTTTCTGGTCCTCCGTGCCTTTCAGCATCACCCCGAGGGACGAGGAAAACTCGGAGAAGCAAAGCAAACCGTCCCCGTTCTGGTCGAAGACCTCGAACATCCTCTCCGCTATGAATGAATCGTCCGTGAGGCCCAGCACGCCCATTGACACCTTGTGGTGGGCATACTGTTCACCACCACCTCTGTAGACCTGAGGGCGGCTGACCTACGGCTGTATTTTGTTGAACTCAACACAACATAGGCCAATCGGACCTTGTCTGCAGTAGTGGTAATGAAACATATAAGCCCTCCACCTTGAACTGGTCTGGGTTAAGCCATCCGTCGGGCGCCAACTGCCGGAACCGCTTGTAGAGAGCCTTGTTGGACGCCGGGCATGGGTACGTAAAAAATGGGTACGATGCCCAAGAACAAATGCTGTCCAAAACAGGCAGCGGCCGCTGTTTGGCAGTCAGCCTTCTGTCTCAAATGGTCAACTTCCGCGGCGACGCCAACAGCGAACTCTGACCGAAACGGACAGTTTCTGTTGTCGGCCTCCGTACAGTCGGACCTAAACCATAATCACATACCTCAAGAGCATGAGAGCCTCCGCCGGCCATAGCAAACAGAACATCCAATGGTGCCCTCCCCAGGATGCACAAGAACGCCCAGCGAACACGAAGAACAATAGGGTACCCTGCCCGACACGACCTCGATCGTCTACCTTGGTCCGACCGTACCCATTTCGATCGTGCCGAGCCTTGGCCTCGTCCACGCAGAGGGTCCTCCTGCCGAGGACGTCCTGGAGCAGCTCCGCTGGTATCTCGCGCGGCAGTTGCCCCGCCGACACGCAGGACAAGGGCCTCCTGACGGTCATGCCAGCGGACAGCGGGGCGCTCGTGGACCCAGCTGAAGCTTACGGTCGGGCACTTTAACTTAGAGTGCGAGGGGCAACGATAGGGAGGGCGGGCTGGCACAAGGGGGTAGACATCGACCTGGAATCGGCGATACATCGCCGAGAGATCGGCGATGGGACCCCTGATAGCGAATTCGCAGGGTCCTGGGCGGGGTGGGGCTGGAAGCCCCGTATAGACGATGAATGGGCAATTCGGCGTCGACGCATGCCCCCCTTCGCCTCTCTCTCCCTATCATTGCCCCTGCGCGTGTCGCGGCGGCGGCCCCGGCGGCACGCCACGCCACGCCACGCCTTGCGAGTGGATAGCGCGTCGCTCCGCTTCGCGGGGCTGGAGGTCGGAAGCGGCTTGTGACGCTCACTGGGAGCAGACCGTGGATGGCGCGCTGCGCCGAGGCGTGGTGGGCCAGAACCGCGGGCGCGACACGCTGAGCCAAGGTCCCTGACAGTTTAGTCGGCGGCGAGCGAGGGGGGAAGTGAGAAGGGGCGGGCCTTCTCAGGAGGCTCGGACGCCCCCCGGCCTTCTGAGAAGTGTCCAAGCCTTCGCCGAGGACGCAAAAAACAAATCTCAGGAGGCCCGACGGCTTCTGAGAAGCCCCGCCGCCCTCTGACAAGGCCTTCTCCTTCTCACTTCCCCCCCTCCATCGCCGCCGAGTATAGATTGCCGCACCACCCTGCACGCGTATGGTGCAGCAGGTGGGCGGCCGCGTGCGGCGCAGCGAGGCTCCCCGGGGGTCGGCGCCGCGGCCCGAGCCTTCGCGCTGCTCTGGCAAGTGGGGTGGGGCACGCGCGCCTCGCGCGCGATGTGACCGCAGACTGTGCCCAAGGTGGGGGAGAGTGAGGAGGAGGAGGAGGAGGAGGAGGAGGA